GGACTGCAGCCCACGCCGTCACCGGCGACTCAGGCAGCCCAGCTCCAGGTTGAGCTGTTGTTCAGCATCTTAGCTGTGGAGGGCAGTGTCACTGGCCTTCACATGTGGGATCCGAACCGGGGGCCCTCTGGCGTCCCAAGCCAGTTCTTAACCATCGCGCCACTCGGCCGGCCCTCCATTAAATATTTTTAAATTGAGTACCTGGACCTTGCGGATGCAAAAACAAAAAAAAAAGTACCGGACTCTCTTCCCAGCTACTTGAGTCTCCCCAGCATGATATTCTAATATGTGTGCATTTCTGTTGCGATGTCACTTTAGCAATCTGAGAACATCAGTTCCAGCTTACAGGAGCAGCCAATCATTCTTGTTGTGATTATTTGGGAAAAGACAGGAATGTTATTTTAAGGAGAGGAGGAAGAGGAAGAGGAAGAAGAAAAAGGAGACAAAGAAGGAGAAGAACTGAGACAAATCAGCTGGCAGGCAGAAATATATTTAAAAAAACAAAAAAGCATCCTTGGCATAGATAACAAAAGATAAGAACACACCCCTCAGAAGTGCCCTACACATGCTGTGTGGGGGAGGGCAGTCGGGGAGCACCTGGAACCAGGCTACCTGGGCCGGCCTACAGTCATGACTAGATCCTCCATGCCCCACCTCCAATCTGGCATTAAAGCTGGAGTTTGAGCAGAGCTGGGAGCAGAGCCTTTTCCACTTGAACCATCCAAGTCACTGTGCCTCTGGGAAAAGGGCAGAATGAAGGGGCTGAATCTAGAAGATGGGAAGCTGCAACCTCTTAGAGTCATAAAAACAAAAAAGCTGTCAACATTTGGAGAACCAGATTCAAGAAACAAAGATCTCATAGCGACATATTAGCTGCAACAAAGCAAAACAAATTTGCAAAGAGTCCTGAATAGCTGTTAAGGCATAAAGGATGGCACATGGAAATGTCTAGAACTATGCTCATTATTACTCATTTAAGATGTATAAAACATTCTTGATGTGTCTTGTTTTATCATCATTGTTATATTTTAGTAATTATAACTGCCCTTACTCGTAGTTCTATAGCCTCAAAGCCTCAAAATCCATAACAGTGATAATGATGAAAACAGTTAACTTTTTAAAGCAGTTCAAAAGAACTTTAAATTTTATTTAATGACCAACACAAACTTATGAGAAAGAAGCTTGATTATATCTCAGTTTCAGGAGACACACCGAGCATCAGAAAAATTAAGTGATTGGCCAAAGTTACATAGTAAACAGAAAAGGGAAATCCATTGTCTGATTTGGGGTGTTACTGCCCAAATCATAAATTCCTCTATTGTGATGCTTTCACAGATATAGCCCCTATGATTAAGAAGAAAGTATGTCTCAAAATGGCCCTTTGAAAATTTATAGTGTTCTTAAATTAGACAAAAGGCCATGTTTATTTTGTAAGGATAATAAAGATGGCACCTGCTCACAGATAACAGTTTAGTTATAGATCCAAGACATACGTAGACCAAACAATGGGACAGTATATTCTAAAGGTCCTAAGTGTGATACACAAGGGATCTTTTGATAATTTGGGGGAGAAATCACATTGTGACATTTCATTACTGTCTCCTTTTCCCTTTGACAGACAGACTCACACACAAAATTCTGTTTAGGTAAATACAAGTTCAAATTATCAACGACAGCCGTACAAGGGACAAAGAAAGGAACGGCAGACATAAATTTAACTGCCTTACGCTGAGAGCTTTAAAGGTGAAAACACCTGACCCAAACCTGAAGGCACAGAGGATTCAGGCATCTTATGGGGCAAGCTGGGGGGGTGGTCCTGGAGCTCGTGCTACTGAGCTCCCTTGAAACGCCCTGGTTTCCATCCGGCCCAAGACGGGCTGGTCAGCTCTTCCATTCTGTGAACTTTCAAGTGTTCTTGACATAAATCTCCTTGAGTGGGCCAGAGTTGGTTTCCCCTTCTTGTAATCTAAAGAGCATTAGCTGCTCCAGGAGGGAGAGAGATGTCATCCAAGTGAAGGAGGCTACCCTGGACAGCTAGGGCTTCGGGAAAGGACCAGAAGGCAGAATTCATATGAGCTGAATGTGTTTGGGTACTGAGTTCCTTTCAGCATCAGTTGAGGGTCATCTCCATCCCTACAGCCTAGCTTCTAGGTTCTTACTCCTCAGAGGGATCCATGAACCAGCAGCCATCAGCATCCTTCAGGAACAGGTTAGAAACGCAGGCTCAGGGCTCCTCCCCCCGCCCCGTCCATATCTGCTCTGTCAGAACTGGCACTTTCGCAACGTCCCCAGGTGACTGGGGTGCATATTAAAGTTTGAGAAACCCTGGTCTAAGCAATAATCCCAATTAACTCTATCTTGATTATGCTTTAAAAAAAAATCAAGTACCCTCTTTAATATCGTCTTGAGGCATTCTGGTTAACTATCCAAACGTATGACTCACACATCAAGTTGTTTCTTTTCTCCTACTGCCTGCAGAAGCTGACCAGAGTTTGGCCTCGGTTTTACTGGCTCCAGACCCCGCTTCCGAGGTTACCGGATCCAGGTCTCCGAGTGCGCAGGCTCTCAAGTTCTCCCAAGGCCCCGCGTTGGCTACCTGTTTCCCTTCCTAGAAGTGCTTCTCTTCAGCTCCAGCAGCAGCTGAATTTCCGAAATGACAATTCCTACAGCACATTTGGTGTGAACCTGGCAGTAGGTGGACGCGTTTGTTCTTCCACCCCAAATCCTTTCCGGGTTAGCAACATCGTTTTATGGGTCTCTGGGTTAATCTGGCAAGTAGAGCGCAAAGAAACAAGATCCAGAGAAAACAAGGAAGGGCTACGAGAACGTCCGGGTCCTGGGGCGTGCAAGATGGGTGCCTGGCTTGGGTGGTGGAGGCTGGCGCTGAGTCGTGAGAGCAGTTCCATCCACTTGGGCACTAACTAGAGAGCAAGGAGCCAAAACTGGGACCTACACAAAAATGGAGTCCTCCAGGGAAAACAGTCACTGGTTCCAAATGAAAAGACGATTGAAGAGTTGTCAGTAGTTGGTTCCAGTTCTTTGCCTACCAGACCTTTCTCCCAAGGTCCCCTTCTGAGTGGAGCCCCTTATGATGCGAGCGTGACAGCCTAAGCTTACAAGTCTGAGGTCCCTTTAGTGCAGAGACCAACAGATGGAGAAAGCTGAGGTCCAGAAGGGAAAACAGAAAACTCCAAAACAGGGACATCTGAATGGGAGGAAAAGACACTGTAGGGCTCAGGGACCCAGGAATTTCATTGGTGAATAAGCAAAACTAGTTTGAAGGCGATTTGCTCGCACATTGTCAGCTGGGCTGATTGTACAGGTTCGCACCACAGACCACTCCCACTTCTGCTCAGGCCTTTCCTGAATGGTGACCCACTATTGACAATGCTTCACCATGAATGTGAGGGGCGTGACATGGTTACACATTAACAGACAGGCCATTTCCCCCTGGGATCCAATGCAAAAATTTCCCCTGAACTGTTACCTTGTTATGGTAATGACCCCAGGGCCAAAACCTGCAGTAGACACCCAGATCTTGGAATCTCTGTGATTCCAAAAGTAGCTGAGGGGCCAGCCGAGTGGCGCGTTGGTTAGGAGTTGGCTTGGGACGCCAGCTGAGCAGCAGGACCCTGGATCGCATCCCACATGAGGACCAGTGACGCTGTGCCCTCTACAGCTAAGATGGTGAACAACAGCTCGACCTGGAGCTGGGCTGCCGTGAGGCGACAGCGACGATGTAGGATGCAGCCCCTGCTGCAGTGGGCTGCCATGGGCTACTGTGAGCAGCCGTCCAGTGGCCGATGACCAATCTGCCTCAGCCGGGAAGAGTGCAATGATAATACCAACATGGGCCAGTGAAGCGACATCCTCCACAACTAGGCTGAAGAACAAAAGGAAAGCAACTTGTCTGTTCCCCCTCCCCCAATTCCCCAGCGCTGCTCCCATACCCCAATTCCCCAATAAAATCTTAAAAAAAAAAAAAGATCAAAAGTAGCTGAGCCAACTCTGCTCCAAAAACACCCTCCACTCAACACAAC